AAATCGCTCGATTAAGGTCACAGTTGATGAAATATATTAAGCCAATATCTTTTAAAGAAACTAGCTTGCTCGTACGGGAGCAAGCGTTATCAGGGGATAGAAGAGGGCGAGCGGAGTGGAGGCATTCGGAATTCCGCGCTCTTCAAAAATAATTTTTAAAATTTTAAAATTTTAATTACCATCGCAAAATCTCGATTAATATTAGATCCATTTAAAGGTTGTTCTAGGGAGAGGGAAGGCGTTGGATCCCTCCTCCTACGAAACGATTTTCGCGCGCAACGACGGAACGAACGTACAATTTATTTGGACACGCGACGATGGATGATGGCTGAGATGCACGGATATTACATTTGCTCTCCGCCAGAGACGTTATGTAATCCTCGCGAACAACAAACTCTCTAGTTAAGCAAAGTACGACGAGAGCGCTCGTTAACGCGATTCATAACGCATACGAATATGTATTTATCTATTCCACGAGAGGGGAACTATTGTTCACGCTAAGGAGCAACTATTTCTGGCATGGCGTTGCGATAACCTCTCGAACGTTATCGTTGGTAACCACAGTGTACTGTAACTTCGACCTGTAAACGTATACGTAGTACCGTGGAGGATCAGTTGATACGATTGTCATCTAATAAATCGATAATTCCGATTCTTCTAGAAAAATAATTTTTTTTTTTTTTTTTTTCAACGAATCGAATGATATGAAAAGATCTCTTGATTTTCGTGGAGCGCTTTCGTTCAAGCTTTGTTTTATTTTGTAATAATTAGGAGAATCTGAAATGAGATCATCAACGAGAGGCGAGACTGATCGACGTGATAAAACGATAACCGTTTTTCCGATTGCAATTACTATTTACATTCTTGTCGCCAAGTAGTGGCTCAAGTTATCTCTAAATACTAAATACCGTGCGCTAAATACCAAAGGTCTTCAAAAGTCGATAATAAAGAGGCTCGCTTAGAACATGTATTGCGTACACGCAATCGTTATTAATTGTATATATACATACATATATATATATATACAGCAAAATCGATATATTAGAAATTGGGAAAAAATGGATTCCATATCTCATTTAAAATCCATGTGCTGTAGACTCATTAAAAATCTCGTTTCAAGAATGTGCAATATACAAAAAACACCGATTGTACTATTGATGCAATCTTATCTATCGTATCTGCATCTTATCGGGACAAAAAATGTGCATAGTAACGATAACTTCTTACCTTTCTTTTTATGCATACATTTTTCCCCCTTATCGTATAGATTTTTCGCTGATACGATGTGTAATACGACGAGTAACGAAAAACAAACGATCAATTCACTGGTTGACGCATGAAAATAATCGCCTCCATTGAGTTACTACAAAAGTTCGAAAAGGCCATCTGCAGAAAATAGATTTTGCAACGCAAATCGATTAAAAAAAATAAAGCAAATTTTCGTGAAGGTATATACGTTTAATTCCCCTGCGAAAAATTAAGTATAAAATTATCTAAGTCTCGTGGGAATATGCAAATACGCAATTATGCATGAATAGCATTAGTCGACTTACATTTCAAGTAAATATCAGATCT